TACCCTTTAATTTGTCAATCCAATTGATTAACTTTATCTTTAATTTTGTTTTGTTTCTGGACACACAAAAAGTTAATTGTGACAGATTAATAACCTTAATTTTGCTCAATTTGATTAATGTAATGATGATTAACGTTGATTGTTATCCAATTATATTAATAATTACCATTTAGTGTAAAACCATTAATGATAAATGGATTCAAATCTGATTGTTATCCTCACAATCAACACAATTGATTTTCAAAGTTAATCCGATTGTAAATATTAATTGTGTTCAATATGATAACCTTGAACTTGATTGTTGATTAACCATCAACCTTATTATTAAATCAACTAGATTAACAGTTTGTTTATCAAGTCAATATTAGTTTAATTTAATTTTCATATCCTTGATGACGACGATCAAAGGTTGATTGTTATTGATTATGGTTAACAATCAAACAACAATTTGATTATCAAAGGTTATAATTAACTTTATGATAATTTAAGGATATGATTGACTTTCAATTTAAATATTCAATCATTGTAACAATTTAAATTGATAGTCATTATTAAAAAAGAAACATGAAATTACAATTAAAATTATTCATCATGAAATTGAATCTAATTTAATTCAATGATTAAGTTAATTATTTGTTACTCATAAGTAAGCAAATTGTAACAACATGAACAATTTGATTGATATTAACTTGATTGGAGTTAATTGTCACAATCTAATCAATATTTGTAACATTAAAAAGATTCAAATTATCAGTTAATTGTTTCAACAATTAAACTCAAAGTGAATTATGTTTATTTTGATTTCCTTTGAAAGGAAACGGAAATAATTAAGTTTGTGTATCATAATTGTAACAATAATGAGAGAGAGAGAGAGAGAGAGAGAGAGAGAGAGAGAGAGAGAGAGAGAGAAGGATGTTAATCATTTGGAGGAAAAGATAATCTCTTGATCTTAATCCATTTGGTAATTAAATATCATTTGAAAGAGGAAAGGATTAAACTGATAGAAAAAAGTTCTAAATGAAGGAAAAAAAATTCGATTCGATAAAAATAAACATTCGAGACAATTTTTTGTTCTAAGCCAAGTTTCGTCACGACGAAGACAAAGTCTCAAAGTCAATAGTCTAATAAAAAGTTTTCATGTTAATCATGATGATGATCATCATCATAGTCTGAACACTTTGATTTCACCCATGGGGATTGTCATGATAATGATTAAATTGATTAAATGGTTATGATTAAGATAAATGAACTCTAACAATTAACCAGACAGAAATAATCATTATCATGGTAACTTTCATGTTCTCAATTGGGAGATATTATCGTTATTCAGAATGTGTATAAGTCTAATGAACAATTGATTAGATTAATTAATTATTATTACCAACTATCCGTTAATTTATTTATTACATTTAATTTCAGTGAATCCAGATGAAAATGATATTCATCATGAAACCGACTGAATAACAACTGAACTTTTTGTTCCGCTCCAATTAAATAGTAATAAAAAAGTGTCTGAAAAAAAGGAAGAAAAAAATTTCCGTCCGATAAAAATCTGATTAATAATCAAATTTAATTTTCTAAAATCAAACTTTATCTTTCATGATAATCATGATGATAAAAATAATATTTCACATCTTCATCATTCTTGCCAATTGCTTATTATTATCATGATAATTAACATTCAACGTTTTTATTATCATCTAATACTAAAAACTTACGAGAATCTAAATCAACATTAAATTGTTGTTGTTGTTGATTTGTTTTGATAACTTTTACTTTAGTTAACTAATCATTTAGTCACTAAAATTCAGGGTAAATAAACATTCAGTTTATTGCCTTTTTCATCCTCATCATCACCATGATTCAACTCCCTCCCTCTCTCATTCACTGATTTCATCTCTTAATAACTTAATCCATAACAGGAAAGTGATTAAGATTATTATTATTATTATTATTTCACAAATCTAGGTGAAAATGATGTGTCACTTTCAACTGAAACTGTTGATTGCGTGCTGGTTTTTTCGTCTTGTATCATCATCATGAAGATGAAGATGATGATGATGATTATCACGTAAAAGTTGAAGTCATCATGAATTCATGAACATTGAACAGATCAACTAATTATTTACATTGGAAACTGTAAAGTTGAGCCTCATGATGATGATTCGTTATCATGGTTATCAAGTTGACATTGCTGATTATTTGACCTAAATAGATTGTAATTAAGTTTATCTTAACTACTACGACAAGTTATTACAATAAACTGTTAATCAACTTCAATTGTTTGCTTCATATCAATTGAACATTTAAATTGGAAACAATTTAATCAATCAATTACATTGCATCTTCTTGTGATACTAATCATCCTTGTTAATATTTGGTGACACTGTCATCATTTTGTTTTTTAAACCAGTTAATTGTTGGCAACAATTAACATGCCAGAAAAACAAATCTTCATTGAGACTTGTTGATGAAACTAATTTAGTTTAATCAATGAATCAAAATGTTTGATTGTTGAATTTCCTGAAACATGAAACGTTTTTTTTTTCAGGTTTAATTTTAATTTTTGAGTTGATTCACAATCAATTTTGATAATTATCATGATTTTTGCATGGTAATTATTAGATTTTTTTTCTGTTCCTTGTTTATGTATTTATATATTTCATGTTAATTGTTGAATTTCTCATCCTTAATGATTAACCTTGAAGGTTGATTAAACTAAGTTAATAATCATCTTCATCGGTTTGATCAACAGTTTTGATCAAAACTAAATTGTTGATTGACAACATGAAATGTTGAACAAGAGCAATTACATTAATACTCATCATTATCATTGAATTTTGAAATTATCTTTGTTACAAATCATGAAGTAATTAAGGTTTACTACAATTGACAAACTAATTGATGATAATAATAATTATCGAAAAGGTAAAATAAAAAACCATAATTACCATCAAGTTAATAATTATAGAGATAAACAATTAGTTAGATCACTGAATTAACCATTAAGGGTTATTGGTCAAAGTGATTTGGATTAAGATGATGATGAGATTTATCATATTTTTCAATCAAACTGTCAATCAATTAACTGAACCTTGAACAACAAAATGATGAGAACATGAAAGTAAAACCCTCAGGGTGAATCTCAATTCTGTAAGGGAAATATATAAATAGATGGATAGATAGATAGAGCATGAGATTAGTGAGAAATCAGAAATCAGAACTCAGAACTTTTTTTTTCCAGAATCTATTGTTTTCACTTATATTGTTTCAATGAATTCAATGGATCTTTGTATGTGTGTTTGTGTCTTTTTTTCCTCCATTTTGATGGATGATGATGATGAAGATGATTAAAGAGGAAGTGGCGACAACAACTGTGAACATGTCGACAGACAAAGAGAAAGTCATCATTTTGTACCAACATGCCTATCATCATCTTCATCATCTTCATCATCATCATCATCATATCAATTTGTTGTTGGTTTTTATTGTTTCGGATAAAATCATGATAACCTTGGTTTCGTTATTTTAACCATCGTAAATTACTTATAATTCAATTACGTTGACTTATATTGTTGATAATCATCCTCCCCCTACACTACCACCACCTCATCATCCTCCCTGTCTTCATCATCATCATCATCATCATCGTCATCTACATAATCATTTTTGTTTTCCACTCTGTCAATCCAACATCTAAGATCTTATCATTAGGATACTTAAAGTGTTTCCGGTTTTAAATGTATTAATATAAATGCAAATAGAAGATGAAGATTAAGATGAAATAGATGATGAAGATGAAGATGAAGATGAAGATGATGATGAAATGATTCTCAAAGTGGGTAAGAAGGAGCAAAATGATCTGGAAGAGAAAAAAATTTCTTCCATTTTTATGGTGACTTTTTTTTCCTTCTCGCAACTTGGATTTCGCTGTTTTTATTACTATGATTATCGTTACGATTATGATTAACTTTTAACTTGTTTTGCTTATTTTTCTTAGTAATTGATAGTTACGAATTAAATTGTTGTAGTTAGTCAGTTAATTATGATATTCTTATATTTCTCTCTCTCCATAAGATTAGTGATTAAAATTAAATCTCTTGTGAAAAAATAAGAATAAGATTTGTTCTTGATAATTTTTCTATTAAAAAAAAGAAGAAAATTTTTCGCCTCAAATCTTTATCCATATTTGATATTTGATTGGATTTTCCAGTAACTGTGATTAAGTGGATGATTAACTAATTGATTAAGTGAAAATCTTAAGTACTTAGAATAATCAAGAAATGGTTTATACCGAAAATCAAATAATCAAAGAAACGGTAACTTTATTATCTTAAGTCAATATTGATGATGAATTATTATAATATTAGATTGTCATGTTATGATTATCTTCATCTCCTCCTTTTCTCCTTGAAATTTATCATGTTTATTGTTAATAATATAATGATTATGTTTCATCATTTGGAACCAACTATTAACTTTGATTAAAAATAATTCATTCTGATTCATGATATTATCATGCTCATGATTTCACTTTGATCATCGTCATCATGGTAACTTAAATCATCTTTGTTCCGGTGATTTTTATATTCCATCATCAACATCATCTTAAATTATTCAATTCCCTCAAGCTAATTGTTACTATTAATCTTTTTCAAGAATTTTTCTTACTTTTACTTTTTACTTTTTCTCCATATTATAAATGGTCAGCTTTTAATCTCTGTTTTTAATCTTAAATCAATTACGGGAATAAAGTATTTAGATTATCTCGGGATTGTAATTTTGTTTTTTTCTCTTTATCATTACTGTTTATCACTTGGAATCAATATAAAAGTAAATAAAGTTAAAAATGATTAAAGAAATTAAATGAGTTTCGAGTTAATTACACCAGTAGATGGCGTTGATTCACATTCGATTTTCCAATTTTCGGTTTAAGTGGCTCCCTCTGGTTTTCTTTTCTTCGTTAATTTTTTATTCTTTTTTTGGAAAACAAAAATGTTTTGATTAATTTGTTTTCTATTGTTATTAATTTAATTGATTTCTTTTTATTTTTGTTGATTATTAGTTCTTTTTGTTCATTGTTAATCCCTGTATTCTTTTTATCCAGCTCCCTATCTTTTCTCTCTCACCCACTTTTTCTTTGAGAATAGAATTAACAAGGATAATATTAATTCAATTGTTATTCTTTTATGATGAAAATTGTCTATTTCTCTCTCTCTTTTTGTTGATTTGTTATGACCTATGTTGATGATGATTATGGGTGATTTGGCTTAGTAAAAATGACTAACCATTGGTTACCGGATGATAGAGAGAAAGTAATAATTTACCTTCATTTTCATTTTGTTATTACCTGATGGATTATCTGCTTCACCGTGAGTATAATTGGGTTTGTATGGTTGTAAATATTATCTCATAAAAAAAGCTTTGACCATTTTTATTGTGTGGTGTTGCTTTTTTTAAGAGCTTTTGACTTTTCTATATTCATATGTAAAAAAGGGTGTATGGTTGATTGAATAATATCTATGTGAGGTGACTGTAAGATGAGAAGAAGAGAAGACTCTAATTGAGTGAGTGAGAGAGAGAGAGAGAAGATATAAAAATGAAGATTATGTTTGGATGGAAGAGAGAGAGAGAGAGAGAAACTTAGTGAGAAAGCGAGTGGAAAAATAATATATCTTTTTTGATGATGATGAAAAACAACAACAGCAATTGCCAAATTGCTATTAATACGCTAGTCTAATTTATATGTTGATCGTATTAACTATTTAATGATAACAATGAATGTTGACCGCGTGTGTTTAATTCTGTATTTAGTTAACAACAATGAGAGAAAATATGTTTTTTCTCCCAAACTTGAAACCTCCATTTATGAATTACCATTATTCCAATTTACCTATTTCCGTATTTCTCTCTCTTCTAAATACATTTATTGATCCGTTTTCTCTCATTATGTTTGCCGGACAGTTAATACTCGAGCTATTATGTTTCCTATGTAGTATTGACCTTTTTGTCTTTGACTGAGGTCAAAACCGGAAGGGTAATACTAGTACAATTAACTGTATAATAGGAAATCATGAAGCAGAAAAAAATTGAAAGAAGAGTAAATTGTTTACTATATTGTACTAATATTATTTTTATTGCATCTTTCAGAGAATGAGAAACAATTGGAAGATCAAATAACGGTCAACATTTTGGTACCAATATAATATCCCAAAGGAGGAGGAGGAGGAGGAGGAGGAGGAGGAAGATGATGAGGCCGATGTGATGATAATAGAGGAGCAATGAGTGAGTAAGTAGAAACTGAGAGAGGACGTAAAGGTGATCCGTTATAAACATTTGTTCAAAGATCAAAGGAAAAAAAATCAATTTGTAACCGGGTTGAGGTCACTTTCTCTTCGTCATCATCATCATTCTATTTAACATATTCAATTTAAACATCATCTCTCTTTTTTTCTCTCCTCTTATCATCCTCATCATCATCCTTTAAGTTGTCGCCAACAACAAGTTTCTCCGTCATCATTTTTACATGAAAAAGTCGACCTTTATAATGTCCTCAGGTCAAACATCGGTAAGTAGATACTCTGTTAGCCCATCTGCCCGATGCCTCTAGATGATGAAGATGATAAGGGAAGAGAGAGAGAGAGAGAGATAAAAGAAGGCAAATAACAACGACAACAACATTGGATAAGCTTTAACCATCTCCATCTTCATCTTCATCTTCTTCGTAATCATCTTCAACTGTCCATTACAATTTGACTTTTCTCTTTCTCTTTCTCTGTCTCTCTGAATATCATCCAAAGTATCTAAGTGAATCTCCCATGACGAAAGAAAAGGTTTTTCTCTGACCTTGTTTCTCTCGCCTCTATCAGCCTTTTTCTCTCTCCTTTTTTCTCTTCCTCATCCCATCTTCGCATCTCTCTTGCCTTTTTTTCCTCAATTTGCTTTGCTTTCAATTTTTTATCAATTTTGCATAACAATTTCAAAATTTCCCGCTTTTCTTTTCCAAAGAAAACTTATTTCTCTTGAATTATTTTTTTCTCTTCATCTTTACAAATTCAAATTCATCTTCATCTTATTTTTTTCTCTCTATCTAACCATCTATCTATTTCTCTTTCCTTCTCGTAACGCTGTTAGAGGCCAATTAGAGGTTAAAATTTGATTGACAAGTAACACCAAACATTGGAAAGATGTTAATTTCATTTTCATCCTCATCCTCATCTTCATCTTGATCTGTTTACTTGGATCAGCAGAAAAGTGAAAATAAAAACACTGAACTAAGGTAAAGTATCTGAAGAAGCCTAAAGCCTGAAGATGATGAGAAAGATGATGAACACAACGACATACCAATGATCAGGATGGGAAAATGATGATTGGATATAAACATAATCTCAAGTCTACAATTAGTATCTCAAGAAACCGAGAAAAAGGAGATAATAACTCCCTTTGGAGAATCTCTCCCTCCATCAACAGAGTGAGAGAGAGAGAGAGCTAATCATCTCCACTCTAATCATCTTTAACAATCAACATAAACTAAATTAACTACGATCAATGGTAATGGTTTCATGGCTTAATCACAGTTTAATATTCATATTCACATGTAATTTGATTTAATTGTCATTACAATTTTCCCACATTTTGACAACCTTTCATTATCCCATCAATTGAATTATAAATTGTCCCAATTAACGTGCCGATTTAATATTAACACCACTCGTTAGATGCCACCATCAGCACGTTATAAAATAATCGTGGCTCGAAAGGTTCAACAATTAATTACAATCAAATTAACGATTAAATTTTCAATGGTAAAGTTGAAATAAACTTTGAAATTAATCAAAACTTGAGACAACAATGAAAAGGGAAATTGTAATGACAATTAGATTACTACCTGAATATGTTATTAATTACTCGTGACGTTAATTGTGACGATAGTTAGTTAATCATTTATCATCCATATTCCATATAAACAACTAACAATCATTTTCTTTTTAATTATATTAATTAATTTAATTCATTTTCTCATCTTTTCTCTGAAGGATCAATCAACAGAAAATAAGGAGAAAAACTAACTAACGATTCGTAATCAAACTTGTTTCCATCGCAATTAACTAATAATTTACTCGATTCAAGTCACGTAATTATCAAGGTAATCAAGGTAAAGTGATCTTGATGATTAACCAAATACCAACAATTTAATAATAATCAATAAATTGTTTTAAAAAAAGTGCGAGTGTTGATAAGTATAATTTGAGTACTAATCAATTTTAACTTGGCCACCAATTAGCTTTTAATCATAACCATAGCAATTAAGTTAACTGTTAAATAATAATAGATTTCTGGTAAATTGTTTCAACCCTCCGGGTGAATCAACAATTAGATAACAATTACCTTAGAAAATTAGTAAATTAAAAGTGATCAAAGATTATTGGAAAATTAAATGAGTGTCAATTAACTTTAATTCATCATATTGTTGATTATGATTAATTTTACATCTTGATTGTAATTCAAATGATTACAAACCATTAATTTAATTCAATCAATTAGAAAACAAAAATGTTTCTAATTTAGTTAATCATTTGATTTCCTTGAACCAGGAAGCTCATTGTTAATCAAGGTAACTTTCAACTTCCTTTTACCCTGGAGCTTAATTTTGTTTTTATATTAATTTAATTTATTATTATTCTGATTATAACAATTTAACCTTAAACGATTTACATTAACTGAAGGTTAACAATTAAATTAGGGTTATTGTGGTTCCAATTTCCAATTAACAAATTGTCATCACATCATAAACTGTATTATAAGTTTTTACCTTTGATTTGATTTTTGTTTTTCTTTCATAATTGAAAGTTAATTGTCTTTAGTTAATCAAGTTAATTGTTTACTATTAGTATCATGAGTAATAAAACTCACAATTACAAGTACCTTTCTTTAATTGTAATGATTATCGGTAAGATATTGGTAATAATTAAGAAATAATTATTCTGTATGAGAATCTTTTTTTTTGATTTGTCTGATTACAATTAAAGGTAAATTGTGCCAATCTATTTACATAGTCAGTTAATCAGTTGATTGCTTATAATTGAATAATTCAAGTGTTGATTGTTGATCAAAGGGCCTTCAAGGACAATTGATTAAATTTAATCATCATCAGCTTATTTACTTATAAATCCTAATACTTATATAAGATGAGTACTTGATTACAATTAATTTTTGATTACTTTTAATTGTTGTAAACAATTAATGACACACTTTGTTTGTTAAAATTGATCAATTGATTGTGATGATGTATCATGATAATGGTAATAATTGATTTATTGTTGGAACCATTGGTTGGATAACAATTTAATTGATTAATTGTAATTAAAATAAGCAACTGAAGCCGAAACAAAATGAAAAGACAAAGATGATAAAAGATGATAACAAAGAGGAAAACAAATGATGTTGACATAAGATGAATGGATAATTGATTTAATTATGTCAATTGCAATTAAAGAGTCGAAAGTTAATCTGGAACAGTAATTAAGGTTTACCGTAAGATTGAGTTTGAAATGATAAAATTTAAGAGAAGGAGAAAAATATAACAAATTTACTGAGAAAAAGAGGTGAAAAGGGAAACGGAAATGATGGAGATAAAGATGAAGATGAAGAAAGATTTAGATGAGGGAAGATGTTAAATCGATATCGATCTGAATTCTCACTGTGAAAAGGAAGATGGAAAAATGAGATGAAAAGTAACTAGAGGATTTTGGTAAGAAGAAGAAGATGAAGATAAGGAAGATCGATGGATTAGACTCACTTCATCCTCATCTTCTTACATAAAGAAGATGAATGTTACTCTTCCATAGGAGAAGATGAAGAGGTTCATCTAGTTACATTCCGTTTTCTTTTCTTCCATTTTTATTCTGCGAAGTTTTCGTTTTCTCTTCGCCATCTTCATCGTATCTTCTTATTTATCATCTTCTTCCATTTAAATTCCATTGACCCATTTTTCTTTCGTTCTTCTCTATCAATCTTGTCCATCTCTCTCTCTCTCTCTCTTTTCATCTTCGAACTGGGAGTTTAAACATCGAACCTTCATCTTCCTCATCTTCCTTATCCTCATTATCTCCTTGATCCATCTCAATATTTAATCGTAATCATAATTTACTGTTTAGCCTTTAATCACTTTTCTTTTACAATTTATTAATTGTTACAATCTAAATTCTGACTCATATTCAATGTTATCCAAACCTTGACTTTTACATTTTGATTGGTGATTAATTAAATTAGGACAGAATTGAAATTTCAATTCAATTTCAATCTCAACAATTAACTTTCAACATATCATCTTGATTACATCTTTGTTTAGTAATCAAGCTAATTGGTCGTTTGTTGATTAAATTAAGATATTGATTTGTTGCTTAATTATTTCACTTTCTCTTATTAATTGTTATCCAATTGTTTGTAATTGATTGGAACTTTTTTTCTCTCACCTAATTTACTACAATTAACTGATTATCAACGTTGCCCTTGACCTTGATTGTTGCAAATAAAAAAAACGATTCAAATTGTTGTCAAACATTAATCACGAATATATCAAAACAATCACAATGAATTAACGGCAACAATCAAATCAAATCTAATTGAGGTAAGAATAAAAAAAACAACAACAATCAATCAAAAAGTTATTAACTTGATAGACTATGATTAGTGTTAATTAATCACTGATTAAACTCATTTTCTTATAATTGTAATTTGAACTTAATTATCAAACTAATCAGATCGGAAAGGTTGAAATTTGTAGGTGAGTTTTTTAATCCATTGTTTTAACACAATTAACTTTGACATTGACAATGATAATCAATAATAATTGTCTCTAGATTTAGTATTAAAGTTAACAATTAGTCAATAATCAAGTTAAAATTAACCATTGAAAGTTTTAAATTAATCAAAATCAGTTAATTGTGAGTAAAAGTAAAAAAATATAATTTTTTTTTATTCCTCTTTCAGTTAATCGTATTATCAATGATTAACTTAAAATTGTAGCAATTAAATTGATTCACCAATGGATTGAAAAGTAAATTTATTAACAGTTTATTTTTAGGATAACCGTTAGTGTTAATTTTGATTGTAATTAAAGTTGATTAATTACTTTGAACAAGTTGAAAAGAATGGGAAAAGTTTTCAGTTGATGCAATTTCGAGGCTAACTTTGGATTTCCAACTGAACTTGACTCTTTGCCTCTCTCATCTCTCTCTCTCTCTCTTCCTCATCATCTTTATCATCCTCATGTCGTTTTGAGACAGAGAGAAGGTAAAGATTTGTAGGAGGAAGATGAGAGGACGATAAGGAAGACAAGAATTCATCAAGGCCAATGATGGACCTTTTTTGGAGTCAAACCAAAGCTCGAAACCATATTAACACCAATACTCTAACCACAGTTATAATAAATTCTATGAATTATTATTATCTTCCTGAAAAGATAAAGATGAGGATGAAGATGAAGATGAAGATAATGATGATGATGGTGATGATGAAAATAATGGTGAGAAATCAATCTTATTGTAATTGATCATCTTTTCGCTCCGAATTGGTGACAATTTATTCTGATTATATTTTACTTTCTCGACTTTCTGATCTTTGTTATTTCTTGAGATAATTTGACTTTGTCAATTAACTTGATTGTGATTGTTTCTGTCTTTCACAATTAATGCAATCAGTTAATTGTGAGAAAACACAATTAGCTGTAAATTGATTTGCAACATACTTGTTAAATTATTGGATTGAGGAAAATATTTTTGCTGATCTTTTTAAATTGCTCATCGATGATGATTTTTTTTTGGGTTACTCATCAATTAATTGGCTTGTAGCCCAAACTAATTGTAACAATTTACCAATTGCTATTAATATGGTAATCAGTAAATCGTTGTAACTCTCAGTTTTCAGTTCCGGACAATTTACCAAATTACTTAAAAATATTTTAATTGTTTTCCAATATTATGTATTACTATTGGTTACCAAATGAACTAATTTACCTTTAAAACTTACGGTAATTAAGGAAACAGGAAACAATCAAAACAAATCACGTTTACGAGTTAATTGTTAATCTCATCATCTTGTTGTTAATTGTAATTACTATTAACATCCTAGAAATTAATCATTTTCCATCATTTTGATTGTAATCAAACCGAACACAAGATGATTAAGATTGTAAGATAATAGATTTCGCTTTACTTTAAATTGTATTGATTAAGTTAATTGTTATTATTCAATAGACCGACAATTAACTGATATTAGAAGGTAAATGAATTAACTAATTTATTCATAATCTTTATTATTAACTTTTAATTGTTTAATCGCAATGATCTTGTGTTTGTTTCCGAAACTGAATCAAACATTTTCTGTTCATTTCAATCTCAACTTTCACTTAATTGTTGCCTGAAACAAGTAATCAACTAAACCGGTTTAAATTGTTGATAATGTTATATTACAACCAGTTAATTGGTCAGTGTTTTAATCATGTTTTTCTTAGTACTGATTCTTAATTATCATGGTTTTGAAAGTTAATTAAGTTGCCAATGAAGGTAAAAATGTTATCTACCAAAAACTCAACTGTGATCAACTGATTCCTGTGGACTCAAATCAAATCAACTAAATCAATGATTAATCACTAATTGTAATCAATCTTACTTTTAATCTACTTGTACCAACTAATGATGTTTATCATCACGATGATTAAGTTAATTATTTGAAACATTTTCATTTTCTGCCATCTCGTTCAACCAAACCAGGAATTAACAAGTTAATATTTTTAGATGTTAACAATTTAACTTAATTTAACAAGTTACAATCTATCATTTAACTTTGCAAATAGTTAATTAGACATTGAGATTATATTTAAATTGATGGGAATACAACTGGATTTAAATTCCTGAGTTAATCAGTTTCTCATGATGGAAAGACAGGAATTTAAATATGATCAACTCAATACACGTACAACAATTAATTGTGATGATGATTAAAACATTTTTATTAATTGTAATTGTAATTTTATCAAAGGCAAATGGGAAAAACTTTTGGCGAAGTGAAAATGATATATTGTTGTTGTTGTTAATTGTGAGCTTTGCTTGAGATGCTGTTTTCCATTGGAGTTAATTGTTTTATAAACTGTATAAATTTGCAAAGCAAACAAAACAAATTACAGGTTAATTTAAATTAATTGTGGTTTGTTGTTGATTCGAAGGCTTAATTTACGAACAACATCTAGACTCCTATGGAGGCTTGATTGCTTGTGGAGCGATTGGTAAGTCACCGTGAACAGAAATCCAACTTTAATCATCTGTGTGATCAGGTAAAGTCTAGAAATTGAAAATGAAAAGCAAACAATTAGATTAATTAGTTTGGTTAAAATGACCTGTAATTAGTTAAATGTCAATTATTTTGTTTATTACAACATTTGTAGGTTTATGTTTACCTTTTGATGTTTTTTCTTGCCTTAGGCAATGTTGCTGGATCCTCTTTTAAAAGATACTTTCTAACACCGAGAATGTAATTCTCAATGTAATCACACCAATTAATTGATCCAACATCGAGGCTGAATTTGGTAAAATCATCAGGTTCCAATGATTTCATTAAGTTGACAAAATTTTCATTTCTAAATGTCCACTCATTGGTAGTGAAATATTCCAATGCATTCATGGCTCGATGAACTTTCTGATAAACTTGATTTAAACTGTAAAACAAATATAAGAAAGAGAGAGAGAGAGAGATAGAAATCAATTAATTACAAAGATCTGAATAGATGAGAGGATGAGATCATTAAAATCACAGTTCTTACATTGGTTTATGTCCAGTAAATTTGAATAGAAGGTCAACAACAAAGGCGGGAATATAATGTTCAAGGAGAAGGAAAAATGTATGGACAAGCCTGTTGGAGTGAAATGAAGCTCCAGGATAACGGAATAACTGATTAGATGGATGTTTAATCAGTAGATTATGTGAAAGATTTTGAAAGGTATTCCAAGTGATTGGATTAATTGATCCTGATGTACAGTTAATCACCGTTGGACTTTCATTTGCTTTGGTTGAAACATACCAAGCAGAGACAATCAATGTATTGGCAACAATATCAACCGGAATCATATCACAAATTTTTTCACCATGAACGTGCATGGTACGAAGTACACCTTTACCAGAGGAGACAAGGAACCCGGAGGGTCCATTGTAATTATCAATCCACCCTGGAATCGGGTCTTTCCAAGAAGCGGTGATAATTGAAGGTCGCACTATGGCGATTGGTAAAACGTTTCCTTCTTGATGTAACAAATTTTCAGCCAAAGCTTTAGTATAATGGTAACTACTTGGTCGTCCATTGTACAATTGGTCAGCAATGTTGCTCAGTAAATCATCGTCCATCCACCTTATTAATTGTAGAGAGAAAAGAGAGAAGATAATTAATATAATTAAATGTTAATTGTGATTAAGTGAAGAAGGAAAAATGATGGTGAAAAATTGAGAAAAAAAAAATTCCCTCAAAAAAAAAGTGAAAAGTTTTTCTAATTTTCTTGTTAACCAAATTTCATCAACTGTGAAGGACAATACTAATCATAGATGAGAATCTAATTATCTTCTAATACAAATTATTGATACTGAATTAGGGAAGATTATAATTAACTATTAATCTTCTCATCATCATGATAATTGGGAAAATTTGTTGAGGAAAATTGATCAAAAACTAAAAAGAAATTAACTAAACATCATTTATATACAATAATATTTGAGCGAGGGATTTATAATGTTTCCTAATCTTGATTAGCGATTAATTATCGTGGATTCCAACTGATTGTCAGGTGAATGGTGTAACAATTTAAAAGAAAACTTTCTCTCCACCATCATCAGTAATTTAATTATATATATATATAAATTGTGATTGATTCTTCTTACTCAGAAGCTTGAATCACTTTAGAAACTGGAATTGGTTCTGGATAAACGATCTCCTGGATTCCATGTTTCTCAATGTTACAATAGGCTGTAGATACATGAACCAAGGCCTA